CTGTAAGTGCTATGGAAAAAAGATCAGAGAAGGGTAGAGTTTTAATTTTAGATAGAGTGGCCTCTGAGAAGGCAAGATTCAAGACATAAAAGAAGAAAGTGATCCTTACAGGTATCTGGAAGAAGAGCATTCTGAACAGATTTTAAGAAATTCACCAGACCTGAAGAAGAGCCTGTCAAGCATATTAATTATGCAATCAGTGAATCAGAATTATGCATATTATGTTCCTCATGTCCTTCTTTGGCTTAACTTGACCCCTCCTATTTTTTGACCATCTTAGAATCTACAGAACCTCCTGAGAGCAGCTCCAATAACATGGTCCTAAAAAGATTTCTCCAATCTTGTCTCTTACTTATGAACATCTTTCCCTGAACTTCTAATTACAATCAGATTCACTTTTCCTAAAATGTTTCATACTAAGGATCTTTAAACCAAATTTGTATATAGTTAAGTCTTAACATCCTAACTATAACCTGAGATGCTGGATTGTATTAGTCACTCTACTCTTTTCTTTGAATGGCTGAGGGCAGAAATTTTTTAAATGCCAGGGGCAATACCATGGGAGAAAAAAGGAAGAGAGAGAACAATTTAGATTTGAAAGGCTAAAAAGACAACAACCAAATCCAGTCTAAACCTTGACTGGATTCTGGCATTTTAAAAAAAAGCTGTACTCCACACTGGGTATAGTTGTATTTTGGATATAAATGAGGAATCTAAATATGGACTAATTATTACATATTAGGGCATTATAGCTAATCCATCTAAGGAGTAATGACATTTTGGTTATGTAGAGTGATGCCATTATTTTTAGACAATGCATACTTAATTTTTTAGAGGTGAAGTCTCATGACGTTTCAGCACATACAAATATACATACACAGGGAGAGACACGTATAAAACAGACATAGCAAAATTAGTATTGAATCTACATAGTGGGTATATGGGAGAATGCTGTGTAATCTTCTTTCAGATTTTAATATTTGAAAATGTTCATAGATAAAAAACTGAAAAAGAATTGATCAATAACAATCCTTCCACAATTCATAGATTAGTTAATAAGTATCTCATATTTAATCAAAATGGGAGACAGAACATGGGTCTTCTTTTTAACAGGTTATAATACAGACTCCAGATACCAAAATATAAAAACATGTAAGACAACTTACTCAGGACTTTTGAACTTCCATGAAAATGTCAAACAGGATGGTCAAAGGGGAGATCAATAAAAGAGGAACATGTTTAAATGGTAAGTAGACCTGAATAGGTAGAACATTTTGTCATCAAAAGCCAAGATTCAAAGAATTTCATAAAGAAAATATTCATGGTTATATTCATGGTTAGTTAATATGTCTTCTCTTGATAAGATTAAAGTGTATCTTTTTAAAGCCTTGGCTGAGCATATCTCAAGGATCATGAGAAAATAAATAATCCAGATATAATATGAAATTGGTTTTAGGTAATCTCTCTGGACCTGAAAATAATGAGCTGAAATCTCCAATTTGGGTAATATTAAAGACTTCAGTGATACAAAAAGAATGAAACAAATCAGACAGTTGTTTATCCTATAAACAGGTAAAATTATGGTGGGCAAGACAGAAAGGCTGGAAAGATAAGAAGTGATACTATAGAGTTACTTCTAACTGCAGAATAAATGGGTGTTGGGGGGCCTGGGTGGCTCAGTCGGTTAAGCATCCAGCTCTTGGTTTCAGCTCTGGTCATGATCTCACGGGTTGTGGGATAGGCTCCGCACTGAGCATGGAGTCCGCTTCAGGTTCTTTCTCCCTCTCCCTCTGCTCCTCCCCACTTGCACGCAGGCACACACACACTCTCTCTCAAATAAATAAAATCTTTTTAAAAAATGAGTCTCTGGGATTTAATTTATAAAGAAAAGGAGGAAACGTAGAATGCAGTGTTCTAGGAAACACCTCCAGTAAGAGGAAAAAGGGAAAAAAAATAAAAGCAAAAGGTAAGAAAACACTTAGAAAGATAAAGCAATATCTCAGGTCAAGGCACCAATCATGCAGAAGTGCGAAAGAATTCCTACAGGGGTGACTCACATGACATAAATAGATCCTTTCTTCTAAAATGGTAAAATAAGAACATCTCTGCCCACTTTTCACATCTGTGAAGGATAAAGAAAAACGGGGGAAAAAAAGGGAAAACTGCATTGTTGAGAAGAGTAGGAAGTAGCTATAATTCTAACATCTTATGAGGATTGTTAGCAGGCAGCTGCCATTGCTGTTTTTAGGAAGAGTTCTCAGGCACAATGCTCTCCGAAAACATAAGGCACAGCCTCAGGGGCCAAATCATCACCTTCTTGTTTTTAATAACAGAATCCAGGAACGTAGGCTGGATACTGAAGACTTGGGGGACCCACCAGGATCCCTAAATGGTAGGGAAAGTAGGACCGAGCAAGGAAATACAGAGACACCATCAGTATATAAAGCAGCTTATTAATTAGTCCAGCAGAACAGAAGGTCACAACTCTCTATCTCCCTAAATTCCTGACTTGTATATCTAACTGCCTATATGAATATGCACTTAAATGATCAGTAGACATGTCACATTCAACAGGTCCAAAACAAACCTCTTGATCTATCTCCCAAAATTCCTGAAGTCTTCCTATCTCAGGAAATGTTAATTCATTCTCTTCTAGTTAAAACCCTGGAGTTATCAGTGTGATTCCTCTTCCTCTTATAAACAATACAACCTAAAAAATAAATAAATAAAAATAACTCGATCTATCAGCCAATCCTGTCAGCTATTTCTTTAAAATATCTTAAGAATCTGGGGTACCTGGGTGGCTCAGTGTCTGCCTCCAGCTCAGGTCATGATCCCAGGGTCCTGAGATGGAGCCCCACATCAGGCTCCCTGCTTCTCTCTGTCCCTCTGCCCCTCCCCTGTTCGTGATCTCTCTCTCTCTCTCTCTCAAATAAATAAAATCTTTAAAAAAATAAAATATCTTAAGAATCTGACTTGTCACTAGCTCAACTACTACCATTTTCTTACCTAGATTACTGCAATAGCCTCTGATTAATCTCCTAGCCTTGGCCCCCTATACCTTATTTTCTATACAGCAGCCAAAATATAATTCTGATCTTATCATATCTCTGCTCAAAACCCTTTAATGGTCTCCCAAATCACTCAAAATAAAGGCCAAAGTCTCTGATTTGGCCTGTTATCTAACCAAACCTGTTCTTTGTCCTTTGTGCTCACTGTGCGCCAGCCTACTCTGCCCTGATCAATATTTCTAAAACAGCAAGCTCCAGCCTCAGGGCTTTTAACACTTTTTGTTCCTTCTGGCTGAATGCTCTTCCATCAAATACTACACGCCTCACATCTTTTTTTCAAATGTCATGCTTTTAGTGAGATCCTTCCCTGATCAACTGATTTAAAACTATAACCACCAACTGGCCTTCTCTATGCTGGTTTTCCTTGCTTTAATTTTTCTCCAGAGCACTACCATCATCTGATAGAATATATATTTTTACTTATTTACTCACAGCATGTCTTCCTCAGGAGGAAGGAATTTTTGAAAACTTTAATCAACGACATCTCCTTAGTAACTAAAATGGTACCTAATAATATCATTCAATAAATACTTGTCAACTATACGAATATACCATGTCGAGAGAAATGTAAATTGGTTTACTACTTTTGAGAACATGCTTATTTCTGTCAAGTCTATAAATAAACATAACTTTGACTCAGAATTTCCACTTAGGATAAATTACTATATAGTTTTATCTACACTACCTCTGCGAAGCAATATAAATAAGTATATATGCACTTGTATATTCAAAAGTACACATCTGGAAACAACCTAAATGTCCATAAATAGGAGACAGGTCAAATAAAATGTGTTGATAAGAGTCTCTCCCAGAAAACAAAAACAAACAAACACAACTATGGACCCAACAGAATACATACTACCATTTATATGAAAAGGAAAAGTCATGAGGGCTTACGTACATATATATTCATATTTACAGCATAGATATATAATATATGCTGGTTTATTCACAGACTACCTCAAGAAGGCTACATGTGAAACTCTTAAAAATGACTGCCATCTTGGGCGCCTGGGTGGCTCAGTTGGTTAAGCGACTGCCTTCGGCTCAGGTCATGATCCTGGAGTCCCGGGATCGAGTCCCACATCGGGCTTCCTGCTCAGCAGGGAGTCTGCTTCTCCCTCTGACCCTCTTCCCTCTCGTGCTTTCTATCTCTCATTCTCTCTCTCTCTCAAATAAATAAATAAAATCTTTAAAAAAAAAAAATGACTGCCATCTTTAAAAAAAATCTATAGGACTGAAGTAAGAGTTAAGAGACTTTTTCACTGTACACCTCGATGTTCAACAATTTTACAAGTTCATGTTATTATATTAAAAACCAAGCACAGACTTGTAACATTTATATGCACATACAGCAGAAAAGGGCAGAACTGATTGCTAAGGCAACAACTTCTGAAAGAGGGATATGGGGGTGGAAGAGAAAGGGAGGCTTTGTTGATGTGTAATGGGGGAGAAGGTGGGATAAGAAGACAAGAGAAAGCATGATTACAGCTGTAAAACATAACTCAGAGGCATCTGACCACTGAAAGAATGAAAGAAGGTGGCAAGTAATAAAAAGGAACCTAAATGTCAGACAATATATAGACTTAAGACCTATAAAAGACAATGCATGAGGAAAAAAGTCTATACACATTGGGAGGTATGAGACAGAGGGTATGAATGAAAGGGAGAACAATCACACAGAGGTAATACAAATAAAGTGTAAAGTGCTGACATCCAGAATGGAGATAAGAGGGGCATCTAAAAAATCTGATTAAATAATACAGTACTGAAGCAGAAAAAATGATGACTGTAAATGTAATTCAGGTATCTAAAGAATTCATCCCAAGTAAATACTCCAAGTGTAGGGACTATAAGAAAACATCCCTGAGTATTTCAAAGGTATCAGTGCTGCCTGAACAACTGTGACCTGCCTTGCCATTCACTCACCTGAACAAATTTCCTTTCCACTTTGTTCTCCACCATCCAGAGTGTCTTCTTACTCAACAGAGGATCACATACAGTTTGGTCAGTTTATAACCTGCTTTTGGGGAAATGACACAGCACTAGAATGTTAATGCTGGGGGCCAAAGTACCATCCTAGAACTCAGGCTGAGCCCTGGGGCCTCCAGGCCTTCTGAATGATGAGGCAGGTGCAGTTTCCAGGTACACAAGGAAGCGGCCCTGTGAAAAAGAACAAAGTAATGACCTTTTGCCTTAGAAATTAAATCACACACAATTATAATAAGCAAAGGGACTAAGACTATCTGAAACCTGAATTTCAAAGCCATACCCATTAAACCATTTAAGTTTCCACACATCCAGAAATGGGGTAAAAAAGAGAATTATTTCTCAGAATTTCACTTACATAGGAAAGCTGTTCATACCTTACATGACTGGTTGCTACTGTTCTGTACCACCACATTCCTACATAGGTTCCTGAGTGGATTTTAACCATGGCCCTTATTCCTGGATGAATTTAATACTCACATCTATAACAGCAGTGGATGCGTATCAGAACTAAGTCACCAGGATACAATGCATAAGAAATTGTTCTCACAGTATTCAGGAATAAAGTTGCAGAAAGTTTTCCTGGAGTCCTAACATTTACTTTGTATTATAATCTGATTAAACTATGTATTAGAAACGTCCTGTAGGGGAGCCTGGGTGGCTCAGTCGTTAAGCATCTGCCTTCGGCTCAGGTCATGATCCCACGGTTCTGGGATCAAGCCCCGCATCAGGCTCCCTGCTCCACGGGAAACCTGCTTCTCCCTCTCCCACTCCCCCTGCTTGTGGAATTCCCTCTCTCGCTGTGTCTCTGTCAAATAAATGAATAAAATCCTTAAAAAAAAATTTTTTTTATTGGGACAACTAACAAAATTTGAATATGGATTTTGTATCAAATAATAGCAATGTGTCAATGTTAAAAATTTTCTGATTCTGGTTACCACACACTATGGTTATGAAAAACAATGTCCTTGTTCTTAGAAAATTCATGCTGAAATACTTATAAAGGAAGAATGTATTCAACTTAGTCTCAAATGGTTAAAAAAAATTATGCACACAAATATCTGGACAAAGAAAGGAGGAAAAATAAAGCAAAAAAACAAAATGTAAATGGTAAATTTGGGTAACGGATATATGGGACTTTCTGAACTGATCCAACTTTTCTATAAAGTTGAAATCATATAAAAAAAAGCAAAATCCTAAAAACTTGAGTTACTACTTATACACATATACACTATCTACTATGTATGTTGAAAAAGCTTGGTCACCAATTTTTGTGCTGGGGTGTGGCAGAGATGGAGGGCTTAGAACATAATTTAAACAGTAATGTACACAGAAATAGAAGAGAGTGAGTTGGCTGAAGACAATCTGCAGGGGAAAGGAGATCAAGTTTGATATTCTGGACACCCAGAGTGTCAGGTTTCTGAGTAACATGCAGGCAGATATATCCATTAGGCAACTGCACATATACGTAAGGAGCTCAGAATAGGCCTAGGAAGCCCAGGAAGGAAATGGGAATTTATCAGCTGTGAGAATATCAGTGCTGCTGAAGACATAGGTGGAATGTTGACTGTGACTGCTTAGAGAATATACACAGTAATGAAGAAGATAATCAAGGACAGAATCCTAGGAACACCCAACAGTCAAAGAGGCAAGGAAAGGTTTCAAAGGAGCATGGTGGCTGCTTAGTTTTGAATCTTTCAAGTACTTCTTCTGAAAACTATACAAAATATCAAGAATAATGGGGGTGGTGGGCAGCCAATACACACTCTATTATCTTTTGTAAAACTAGCAGAGATTCACTCTAAATTATTTTAAGTGTAGCCCCAAACACCCAAAATAGTAGATATGGTGCAGGGACCACAACAGTATGGCAGGCACAACAAGAAAGGCCACATAATGGTGAGCAGTCTTTGAAATAACAGGTCTCAGAAATAATTAGCAAATATTCATTCTCAGAATGACAGTGAGTGAGAACTGCTGCAACTGAGTCTAATAATGAACAACAAAACTAGAACCAAAAAACCCCTCCCAAACTCCAGGTACCAAAGGCAGACCCACAAGTGGCCTAAACAGGAAGTTGTAAAGAAGCCTAGGAAGAACTGGGAATGCTTTGAGGGATTCCAAGAACTTAAAAAGCTCAGATTCGTGCAGCTAATATTTCTTTACTGAATGAGTAGGCCTCACCTTAAAGGGATCTAATAAAACAAGACCTAGATTAAACAGAAAAGAACTGAGGGGAAAGCAGGAGTATGCTTAAAAAGTACTTGGGAGTAGGGTGTCCCCAGATTCAGTAACTTCTAAAAGTGAATGTATCATTCTGGAAGGCAAGTACTGTGAAGAATTAGGGGAAAAGAGGGAGATGGAGATAGAAGTCGGCTTCAGTGAGGTTAGGGGAAGGAACTCCTTTGCTTTAAACACTAGAAGAGGCACATGAACTCTGAAGCACAGAATGCTATTATGTTTCCTTTTACCTGGTAATGGTCTCAAAAAATCTATCTCATGCAAATATGAGTAAACAAAATAATTTGTCTGTATCCATACAAAGATACAAGAAAAATAGTGAAAGCAAACAGCACAACTTTCAAACAGCTGAGTAAATTCACATGAAAAATACTGCAACAAAGAAAGAAATGAAAACAAAATGAATTTTTAGAACTTTAAGAAGGAAAGCAATATAAAGAACACAATGATAAAAACAGACTCTTAACTATAGAGAATAAACTGAGGGTCGCTGGAGGGGAGGTGGGTGAGGGAATGGGTTAAATGGGCATTAAGGAGGGCATTTGTTGTGATGTGCACTGGGTGTTATAGGTTAAGTGATGAATCACTAAATTCTACTTCTGAAACTAATATTATATTATATGTTAACTGGAATTTAAATAAAAACTTGAAATTACCAAAAAAAAGAATACAATGATAGAGAAACTGAGTGAAAAAAAGGTCACTCAAAAGGAGGGAATGAAAAGAAAACGAAGAATGGACATCTTGGGGTGCCTGGCTAGCTCAGTCGGTAGAGCATGTGACTCTTGATTTCAAGGTTCTGAGTTCGAGCCCCATGCTGGGTGTAGAAATTACTTAGAAATAAATCTTAAAAAAAAAAAAAAAAAGAATGGACATCTTATTTTGTTCTGCCTGATTTTTTTTTTTTTTTAAAGACTGCAGTATTAGAGTTGGGGGGGATTTTTGTTTTCCTTGATTAATGTGATCTTTCCTGGTTGTTTCATCTGAGGCACAGTGGTAGCTTCAGCCTTAAACTTTTTGTTTCTACTCACATCCCCAGAGTTGCAGGCAGCATGTATATATAGGTAATCATAATCTGTATCTGACCACAGAAGCCAACATCTTATCCAATGCAAAAACAAAACATTCTAATAAAAATAAGGATGCTGTCTCAAGTATTATATAATTATAAGCAATAATTCAGTAAGTTAAGCTGGAAATAAAATTATAATCAACGACTTTCTCATATACCACAACAAATGACATTGTTGTAAAACAGCAATACAAAAGATAAAGTACCTAGAAATAAACTTAGTAAGAAGGTCTAAAACCTGTATGAAAAAAAATTTAACCACTCCAGAGGACCCAAAAGGAAACTGGAACATATAAATAAAATACATATCACGTACATGGACAATATTTAACATCATAAAGATCTAATGTCCCTTTCTCCTAAGTTATTGTATAAATTTAGTGCAATACCAATAAAAATAAGCTTTTTCCCCCGAGAACCAGACAAGTTAACTAAAGTTTACATAGAAAAATAAGTAAGCGGGGCACCTGGGTGGCTCAGTCGGTGAAGCGGCTGCCTTGGGCTCAGGTCATGATCCCAGGGTCCTGGGATCAAGCCCCACATCAGGCTCCTTGCTCAGCCGAGAGTCTACTTCTCCCTCTCCCTCTGCCTGCCTCTCTGCCTAACCGTGGTCTCTCTTTCTCTCAAATAAATAAATAAAATCTTTTTTTTTAAAGATTGTATTTATTTATTTGACAGAGAGAGACACAGCGAGAGAGGGAACACAAGCAGGGGGAGTGGGAGAGGGAGAGGCAGGCTTCTCACGGAGCAGAGAGCCCGATGTGGGGCTCGATCCCAGGACCCTGGGATCATGACCTGAGCTGAAGGCAGACGCTTAACGACTGAGCCACCCAGGTGCCCTAAATAAAATCTTTTTTAAAAAAAGGAAAAGAAATAAGCAAGGGGGCCCCTGGGTGGCTCAGTCAGCTGAGTGTCTGACTCTTGATTTTGGCTCAGGTCATGATCTCAGGGTCAAATTTAAACAAATTTTTAGATATAAAAAAGAAAAAAAGAAAAATGAACATCAAAACAAATTTTTTAAACTTGAAAAAAAAATTGCAACTCATTTCACTTGGGCTAACTTTTCTAATGTACAGCTACTAGAAGAAAATGGGAACCCCACAGAAAAATGAGAAGGATATGAACAGACAGTTCCCAGATAAATACATGAAGCCCTTAAACATATGGAAGATAATCAACCGCCCTCATAAGAGATGTAAGTAACACCTACACTGAGATACTTATTTTCACTTATGCCTTTGGCAAAAAATAAAATAGTAACACTATACTCTAATGGTAAGGTTCTAGCAGAGAAGGTGCTCTTGTACACTGCAAGTAGAGTGTTAAGTACCTAGCTATATGGGCAATTCCACTTAGGGCAATCTACTTTAGAGATACTCCTGCCTAAGTCCAAAATGACAAAGGTAAAAAATTATTCATTACTGCAATTAGTAACAGCAAAAGATTGAAAACAACTCAAATGTCCAACAACAGAAGTCCAACAACTGAATCAACTATGGTAAACACACACAATGGCATCTTATTTATACAGCAGTTAAAAAGAAAAAAAAATAGTAATAATGATTAAGGAGATCTCCAGGACACATGGAAAGAAACTACACTTGGTTGGGACAAAGAATGGGATGGGTGAGGGAAGCAGAATGAGATGAGGTATCACTGTGAGTTGTATTTCTTTTGTTGTTGTATCACATAAATATATAGTTTCTTTTCATTTTTAAATTTTTTTGGTTTTTGGTTTTTTTAAGATTTTTAAATTTTTTAAAAGTGATCGCGATACTCAATGTGGGGCTTGAACTCACAACCCCGAGATAAAGACCTGCATGCTCTACCAACTGAGCCAGCCAGGTGCCCCCATTAGTTAGTCTTTAAAGAATCAAATTCATTTTTTAAAAAGCAGTCCCTGAACTTGAAAACAAATTGAAACAAATATTGTTTATACACACACACACACACACACACACAATGTATAGTTGCGTTCCCAACTATACATTGAGTAACAAAGTCCCCTAAAGAAAGGATTTAGACTTTAGAACAGAGAATTGACTATACATCTTTAAGTGGGATGCACTCTAGGGACAAAATAGCTACAAAGAAATTTTTCATATGATAAAGTATGTTCATGGTTACTATTAATACCAGTAATGTTACTGTGAAACCACTTTCCTTATACTGAAAGATAAAACAAAGAAAATAAGCATTTATGTGAACATGTTTCAAAATTTTTACTATGAAATACAATTAGGAGCTAATAATTAGATAAAAATATCATAAAATTTAAATCAAATTAGAAATACTTATATGACCTCATGATTTTTTTAAAATGGATTTTCTAGCTCTATCACCAAAAGGCCTTGATACAAAATTACTGCTGCAGCAATGAGAACATCAGCACCCAGATCTTAGGCTCTAATACCATTCTCCAATAAAAGGAACCAGAGCTCCTTGGGAGAAATGGCAAATTCGAAGGCTAAGAGGGAAGGTAGAAGATGGGCCTGGAGTGCAGGAAAGTTTTCAAAGTAAACGGCAGCCAAGTCAAAATGAACTAGGAGTCAGACTGGAGGAATGTCCACCAGCTAAAACTGTGGCAATATAAGTATCAGAAAGAAAACTAGTTTTAGTTACTAGAACACAACTTTATAATGATGCTTACAAGTCAGAAAAATTTGAAACAATTTGAGGTTTGCAATCAAATAAATGTAAAAAGAATTTTAAAAACTAGGAAATCACCACTTTCCAACCCTTAAAGAAGCTGATTTAGCCAAGGATTATTTATCAGTGTTGAAACCATCCATTAAATCAATGGGGAATGAACATTCATATGGTACCAAAGTAAATCATGAAGATTTCATTTTGGTCAAAAAGAGAAAGATATAATCACTACTGATGTCTCTCCTGATGTTATGCAATTTGAAGATCATCTCTGATGTACTCTGGCCAAAAGTAAATCACAATTGGGATTTTTATGCTCAGCGGGAGGCCTGCTTCTCCCTCTCCCACTCCCCCCGCTTATGTTCCTTCTCTTGCTTTGTCTCTGTCAAATAAATAAAATCTTTGAAAGAAAAAAACAAAAAAAACAATTGGGATTTTTAAAAAACATGATCAGAGGTTCTGAATTACAACCATGAGAAAGTAACCACAGAAATCAAAGAACATTTTCATGAAAAAGATAATGATGGGTTTCTAAAGATGAATGTAACTTGAACACAGAAATCTAACTTCCTCATTCGTTATAAAAGGAAATGTCAAAAAAAAAGTTTAAACATGGAAATAAAAAAAGAACATCTATATATATATGAATCTTTCTGTACTATTTCTAAGGAACTATTATTTTGCAGATACTAGTAATACTGCTATTTATCATTTATCGAGTACTTACTACATACCAGGCACTATTCTTTAGAACTTAGAACTCCTTAAGCTGCACAACCAACCACCCCATGAATTAGATACTATTATTTTTTCTCTATTAGTAAATGAGAAACAGGCATAGGTTTAAGTACATCCAGGTACAACGTGGCAGACTTCTGAGTTAACGGTAGTCTGGCTCCATGGCCTATGTCCTCCTTAAAAAAAACCAAAAAACAAAAAAGAAAAAAAAAAACCTTTAACTTTTAAATACTAAATTCATATACTTAGAAAACCAACATAAAAAGTTATTTCCCCGGGCACCTGAGTGGCTCAGGTCATGATCCCAGGGTCCTGGGATGGAGCCCCCCTCCCCCCCATTGAGCTCCCTGCTCAGCAGGGAGTCTGCTTCTCCCTCTCCCTCTGCCCCCCAACCCCCACGCGTGAATCACTCTCTCTCAAATAAATAAAATCTTTAAAAAAAAAAAGCTATTTGCCTTTGCCCTACCTATCCCGGTACCACCACCCCAAACAGAGATAGCCACTTTTATCAGTTTCTTGCCTATCTTTTGTACTCAAACATATATTATTTCTGCCTCTTCTTACTTCAAATGAAGCATACCATACATTTGGCATCTTGCTTTTTTCACTGAACAATACATTTTAGAATTATTTCAGTCAATATACAAAAAGCTTCCTCCTCATTCTTTTGTACACTTGTGTATTATTCTGTGTATAGATGGACCTAATTTTATTAAACGAATCTCCTAGTGATGGCTAATCTTTACCTATACCTGCAATGAGCAACCTCATACCTGTATCATTTCATGCAAATGCAGGTACATTTGCAGGATTAATAACCAGATGTGAAATAGCCACACCAAAAAGAAAATACATTTGTAATTATACACGTTGCCTGCTTCATGCTAACACCAATACGATTTTAATTTCTAAGTATTTATATTTTAAAATACGTTACCACTAGACGGATGGACCTAGAGAGTATAATGATAAGCGAATAAGTCAAAGACAAATACCATATGATTTCACTGATGTGGAATTTAAGAAACAAAACAAACGAACAAAGGAAAAAAAAAAAGACACAAACCAAAAAAACAGACTTAACTACAGGGAACAAACAGATGGTTACCAGAGGGGAAGTGGGTGGGTAGGGGGATGGGTGAAACAACTGAAAGGGATTAAGAGTACACTTGTCTTGATGAGCACTGAATAATATATACAGTTGTTAAATTACTATATTGTACACCTGAAACATATAATGCTGTATGTTAACTATACTGGAATTGAAAAACAAAAAACTAAACAAACAAAAAAACATTAGCGCTGGGCCCCCACCTCCCAACTGCTTTTCTTTTTCAGTTTTACTGGCTATTCTAGCTTATTTTTCCATATGAAGTGCATAATCAGTTTAATTACCCCGCTCTCCCCCCAAAACTGTTACTTTTATTACGATCACATTGAATTAATAAATTTATTTGCACACGCTTCTTTATGACGTATTCCTATTAAAAACATGGTGTATCTAATTAATATGTGAATAACACTCAGCACTTTTTAAAGTTCTTTTCTAATAGTTTTGCATACTGTTTCTCATTTTTTTATTGCTATTGTAAATAGTTTTCTTCTATAATGTGTTCTAACTGGCTGTTGTTTATTTGGAGACTGTTGATTTGTAAATATTAAACTGGTACCCAATTACTTTAACTCTTATTATTTAAAATTCTGTTGGGGATGACTGTGGGATTCCTTAAAAAAAGCATCTTTGTAGACAGGAGTAACGGTCTTTATTACTTCACAAAATCCATTCAACTTGGAAATACCTCGATTCATTTAGGAGTCAGACACCTAGAAACTAGGTCACACTAATAAATAAACATTGCAACAACTAAATTTTCTTCAAAGAACGAGGATAACCGTGCCTAACCTAGAACTCCAAACCCTTGACTCTAATCCTGGGCTTTCTGTGCTATATGACGCTGCTGCTCAAAGTGCAACGTCGGCATTTCATCTAGGACTTAACAGCAGCCCTATTAAAATACCCTGAAGATCAGGAGATCTGAGATCGTCTCAAGCTCCCCCACGAACAAAAAGTGCCTTCGAAATAGTCTTGCTTGCTTAAAAAAGAAACCACGGTGATCTGCATTCTACTCCAATTAAAAGTAAATGCGTTTTTATATAAAAATTCACTTTTAAATCATTTATTACGTAGCTTTTTTCCCCCTTCAAACAGTCAAATAAAAAACACTCCACGAAGATGGCACCGTTATTATCAGCACTTTCGACAAGGGAAGTGCGGCTCAGATATTATTACCTCAATGCTAGTCTCCTACATCTCCCTCTCAGATGCAGCCATACACAATCCTGCACCCACAGTTTCTCACTCAATAATCCCGACATCCAAACTTACGTACAAACTCAGGGTCACACACGCTCGAACCCTCCTCAGAAAGCCCCACCCCCACCCCACATGTAGGCCAGAAGCTCTTAAACCCACTCCTCAACCCCGCACCGCGCCCCAACAGATCCAGAATCCTCCCCTTCAACCTCCCCGACCCGACCGGCCCAAGACGCCCACATCCCACCTCCTACTTTCGCGCCACGTGGACCCAGGGGCCGGACTGACCCGCGGACAAAGACCAAAATGTCCACTCGGCGCGCTGCGCCTGCGCACTCCGAGGGCGGGCGAGCACTCCCAGAAGTCTCCGCGACGCGGCCCGCACGGTCACCGTGGCCCGGCCCAGGCTGGTATTTGATTACCTTCTGTCAACAGCAACGCCGCTTTTCCGGCCTGGAACTACATTTCCCTTAAGGCTTTGCTGGTCAGCTCTCTGTCCCACACGAACTTGGCTGCCTCTTCCAGTGATTATGGGGCTCTCAGGGTGAGTCGTCCTGCTTTAGAAGAAAATCAGCTCAAGCCTGGTGGGAGGTCTGGAGCAGGGACTACGTCTTTGAAGCTCCCCCGGGCGCAGTGTCAAACGGCCAAACTCAGGCTCTGAGGTACGAGGACGCCATCTTATCTGTGTCTGGCCTGGCTCTGGACTACGTTTCCCAGAGGCCACAGTGGCCCGACGTTACGTCTTTCTTGACGTCGTGGCGAGATCGTTAGCTCCACAGGGACCCGGACGCGACCAAGGGGAGGCAGAAGGTGAGGGGTCTGGGAGTCCGGGGCGGGGACGGGGCGTGTCCAGAGCCTCCGGTCTGTGAGCGCTGGCAGGAGCCGGCTGAGGATGCCGGGTTGTGAGTGAGTCTTTGTGGCTGCGTGACTAGGTGTGGGTGACTGAGTGTGCGGTTGTGGCCGCCTGGCTCCAGGGTGTAAGTCTGGTTGTGTTTGTGTAACCATGTGTGATACTGTGTGGGGGGGTGTGAGGTCCTTGCTACTGTGGGTGATAACTGTGTCTCTGTTGTGTATGTGTGACCGTACGCCTTGTTCTTGGGGGTGCGGGTGTCTGTGCGGTTATGATTCCATGTCTCCAAGGTGAGCGTATGGTTTTGGTTGCACAATATTGTAGCCACGTGTGGTATTGTGTGCAGTTGTGTGTCTGTGTGTGGTGACAATGCGTGTGTATCCCTCTTGTGTCCCTTGGAGTGTGTCTCTGAAACGGTGGCTGTGTGTGGTGCTGTTTGTAAGTGTAACGTGTCTTTCTTTGCCTGTGTGAGTGTGACTGTCTCAGAATGAATGTTCAATTATGACTGGTTGGTGTTGGGTGGGCCGGAGTTACAGCCATTATGTGTGTCCCCCAAGTGGGTATGTGATTGTGATTGTGTGAGACGTTTGTGGATATTGGTTTGGAAAGGCTGTGATTATATGAGAGTAACTCTGCGAATCATGGTGGTGAGTAGAATTGAGTAACTGTGTATGTCTTTTTAGTGGGTGTGAGATTGTGACTGTGTATAAGGGCCTGGAGATGTCTGTGATTGTGTGGTTGTGTCCTTGTGTGTTTCAAGAGCGGATGTGTGGTTGTGTTTGTGTGACACTGACCATTTGTGTCCCACCAAGTGTGCTGATGTGAGGTGCCTGTGACTCCAGTATACTGACCTTTGCAGAATCTGTGAAGTTAGAACAGACTGTGGCCCTGGATAGTGATAGCCTCAACCTTTACCTGTGACACTGGGATTGGACATGATGTCCAGTCTTCTCTGACTTCTGTCTCCTGTGTGGAGATCAAAATGTTCTGCTTACTCACAATTCCTTTTTTTAAAAGTCTTCTCCAAGAAGATATTGAGAGGAAAAGGAAAGAATTGATATTGAACATCCAAAAGCTAGGCTCAAGATGCATCAGTTTTTCTTCTTTCCCTCAGAACCTTCTTGTTTTTCAGGATTTGCTTTTCTTTTCTTTTTCTGAAACTTCTTGCCTAACTTCTCTTCCCCCAAAGGACTTGGTCTCCAGTATATTGCCATTGGAGTAAATTATTGAGAGCCCTTTAGGTGAACTGAAAGGTCCATATACCCCCCACTTCCTGCACACCTAATGTTCAATAAAATTTTTTTAACTTTTCAGGGCACCTGGGTGGCTCAGTTGGTTAAGCGACTGCCTTCGGCTCAGGTCTTGATCCTGGAGTCCGGGATCGAGTCCCACATCGGGCTCCCTGCTCAGGAGGGAGTCTGCTTCTCCCTCTGACCCTCCCCCACTCATGCTCTCTCTCTCTATCTCATTCTCTCTCTCAAATAAATAAAACCTTTTTAAAAAAATAGATTTTTTTAAATTTTTCATTTTGAATTAGTTTTAGACTTAAAACTCTTGCAAAAATAGAATTCCCATATACTTTTTTTTTCAAGATTTTATTTTTAAGTAATCTCTATACCCAGCATGGGGCCCGAACTCACAAACCCAGAATCAAGAGTTGCACACTCCACTGACTGAGCCAGCCAAACACCCCAGAATTCCCATATATTCTTAACCTGTTTCCCCATTTTACCATTTTATGGTTATGTTTCCATTTTCAATAATCACAGTACATGATCAAAACCAGGAGATTAACATTGATACACTACTAACTAATATACAAACTTTATTCAAATTTCATCAATGTCCCTTAGTGTCCTTTTTCTGCACGAGGATCCAATCCAGGATCATATGTTGCAGTTAGTAAGTCTTCTTAGTCTAATTTGATCTGGCACAGTTCCTCAGTCTTTGTCTTACTTGATCTTGACACTTGTAAAGAGTACTGGCCATTTATTTTGTAAATTCTGCATTGTAGAATGTTCCCCAATTTGAGGTTGTCTGATGCTGCCTTGTGATTAAATTCAGAGTATGCTTTTGGGACAAGAATATCCCAAAAGTGATGTGTTCTTCTCAGTACATCAGGAGATCCAAGAGGTCAATTTGCCTCATTATTAGTGGTAACTTTAATCACTTGGTTAAAGTGGTGTCTTCCAATTTCTCCACTGCAAAGTCACTATTTTTCCCATTATAATTAACATGTGTCTTGTGGAGAAATACCTTAAACTTCTCATCTTCCACCTGCAAATCTTAACATTCATTGATAATTTTTGCCTGAAAATGTTATTACAGGCTATTTGCCAAATGGTGATTTTTAAATTTCCATCCTTCCTTCTACATTTATTAAATAGAATCCTACTGTTAGGAGATTTTCCTTCTCCCCCACTTATTTACTAAATTATGTATATATAAATTGGATTTTTTTTTTCTGTAGGTTACAATTCATTACTGTCCCTATGTGTTTGCTCAGATTACCCCAGATTTGGCCATTGGGAACTCCTTTAAGTTGACTCCTGTATACTTTCAATGTGCCCCCTTTATTATTTTTTTTAGTACTGCCATATTTTCTGGCACCATGAGGTGTTCCAAGCTGATATTGTACTTTTGTTACCCAAAACTGGGTTTATCTCTTGGTGGGTGTGGAGCCAAAAGACAAAACCAGCCAAAGAATAGGAAGAGTTTTTCTTGCACTAAGTAAGGGAGGACACCAGGGATCTTCCCTAAAGCAGTGTCTCCCTGAACAAAAGAATTGGGGAAGTTTTAAGCTAAGGATGCATATATATTAACAAAGGGGCTTGTACAATGGGAATACAGCATGGAACAGAGGCAAAAGTCATCCTAAAATGACTGACTCCATGTCAAAGTCATGAGGGCCAGCAAAGAACAGCATCATCAATTGTCTGGCCCCAATTGGTCTGGTATCTGAGTGCTCAACGGGGTTTAGATCCTGCAAATATAATTCAACAATGTACATCAGGTCAGTCTTCACTTTTGAATCAGCTCTGTGAATTTTACTGCTGATTTGTCGTTCCTGGTATGATTAGGTTATCTCCTGGCCTGATAGTGGCTGTTTGTTCTTAACATTCTTTCACAAGATGGCCAGAGGCCTAAAATGACTTTTCTTATATCAAGAAAGCTGTGTGTCTGTTTCCCCCCCCCCCCCCCGCAAGGACCCCTAACTCTTTCTGTTTACACTTTCCCAGCCCCAGGTCTGGAACATGTACATTTCCCAGGGAGCACTGGCTCCTTTTAGTAGAAAATGATATTTAGAAACCAAGATTAGGGGACGCCTGGGTGGCTCAGTTCTTAAGCGTCTGCCTTCGGCTCAGGTGATGATCCCAGCATCCTGGAATCAAGCCCCACATCAGGCTCCCTGCTCCGCGGGAAGCCTGCTTCTCCCTCTCCCACTCCCCCTGCTTGTGTTCCCTCTCTCTGCTGTGTCTCTCTCTGTCAAATAAATAAATAAAATCTTAAAAAAAAAAAAACAAATTAAGATACACTCATTGCTTCTAGGTACTCTCAGCTATGAAGTATACATATCTACACACACACACACACACACACACACACACATCCGTATCTATTGGTATGAATATACTGATAATCCGTTGCTTCATATGCTATCTCTAATTCCAGTTTAACACCAGGGGGTTTATTCCAGCCTTCTCCATTTCCTTTTATTTTTTGGTAACTCCTTTCTCTGACAATGAAAAAGTTGACTCTTGGGATGCCTGGGTGGCTAAGCATCTGCCTTTGGGTCATGATCCCAGGGGCCTGGCATCAGTCTGCGTGGGGCTTCCTGCTCAGCAGGGAGCCTGCTTCTCCCTCTCCCTCTGCCCTTCCCCAGTGTCTCTCTCTCAAATAAATAAATGAAATCTTTTTTTAAAAAAAAGTTAACTCTTATTAACCACAATATCTATTTGCTCAGTCCTAAGTAGAAAGTAGTTTAAGATTTGCGGACCTAAAATAAGATGAAATCAGAGAGGGAGACAAACCATAAGAGACTCTTAACTATAGGAAACAAACAAACAGAGGGTTGCTAGGTGGGTGGGGGGATGGGGTAACTGGGTGATGGGCTTTAAAGAGAGCACTTGATGTAATGAGCACTGGGTGTTATATGCAACTAATGAATCTCTAAACTCTACTTCTGAAACTAATAATACACTATATGTTAACTGATTTTAAATTTAAAAAAAAAATTGCCAACCTACACTCCCATACCTCATACAGTTATTTTTATTTTTAGTCTTAGTGAAAATACAGTTTTCCTCACACCCTCCTGTATGGTAATGTTACTCATTTGTAATATAGTTGGTTCATTTGTTACTATTTGTATTTTATTTTCGATTTACATACATACATCCTGGTTGATTTTAATTATTTTTTGAGTACAGGAAACATTTCTATATTTCTAAAAGTCTTAATTATTTTTG